ATCAATAACCAGAGTATAATACCATCAACTGACGTGATACAACTCACTTTGACTCTGAAGATGACTACCGCACAGGTTGTCGAAACATCAGTCACTGTCAACAATAACAGTCCTATTCAGGACTACGTTCACCCAGACGATCAAATTCAACCTTTTGAAATGACTCCTGGGTTCAACCTTTCACAGAATAACATAAGTATTCATCATATCTGTCAATCAAGCCTTCAAGGATCGGATCTTAGTTTGATTTCTGCCATGATGATGTTTTCTAAGACAAAAGTAATTGCTTCACTCCATCTTTCTTTACCAGCCCAGTGTATAAATGGGTATCAGTAATTTACATTTTGTACTGCTGGGTGTAACCCTGCAATGGATTGGCATTGTGTCCAATGGCCAGCCATTTTGACCTTGTTCTTGGTCAATAGCACATAGTTACAGGCGTAATGCAATGTAATTTTATTCAAGATTTGTAACATCTGGCATGTACCGGTATGGTATGTATTTTGCCATGTTTTTAAAGTAGTAAACCAAACCTGTACAAATGTATGTTTGTTTAGAGCTTGGTTATGTTGAAGATGAGATTTTCAAGAAGCGACAGGCAAATGATGTGAGTACTTTAAATTTACACAAAGTTTTATGGATCAAAATATAAAAATATTACTTAAATGTAGATTTGGTTGTCATTTCATAGCTTTTGTTTAAGACTAGTGTATATGATCTTGTGTTTAATACATTTCTCCTACATTACTCTTATCGGTTTTACTACTTACATGTTGGGTGTATCACATCTGTTAATACAGGTCAAAATTGAATTCAGGTTAAAATATTTTAACCTAGGTTGATTCTCAATTTGCTTTGTCCCCCATCTCTCATTATTCATGAATTAGGGCCAGGAGACAAAGGAAATTGAGAATCAACCTAGGTTAAATCAAAATTATTATAACCTGAAATCAAATTTGACCTGTAACATATCCTTCCCCTCCACTCCCCTCTTCCCCCCCCCCCCCCCCCCCCCCCCCCCCCCCCCCCCCCCCCCCCACACAAACATCTTATTTCAGTGAAAATTATTTGTTGTGTAGGCATTCGTGTTTTTTTTTTTTGTATTACAAAAAAAGGAACAAAGACAAAAAAAAAAAAAAAGAGAAGAAAAAAAACAAAAAA